AAGGAGAAGAGGGAGGAGAGATGGACGGTGTCAGAAGGGAAAGATGGGGAGAAGGGAGGAAGAAAGAGAAAGAGAAGATGGGGGAAAAACAGAAAGGAAGAGGGTCAAGAAAAGAAGGGAAAAGCAAGGGGGAAGGGGAAAGGAAAAAAACAAAACATAATTTAACACCAAAAATAACCCACCAACTCCCAGCTCCCTACACTTAACCCCACCCCCACGCTCTCAGGAAAGCTCAGATTCCTTTACTAAAACTAGACAATCGCAGAGAAGGAAGGGTGGGCCCAGCTGCCTCTGATGTGACACCTGTTCCAACTCCGCAGTGAACTTCCATCCCCCGCCCCCGCCCCCGCCCCCGCAGTGACCCCAGAGTGGGCCACAACTCCTCCTCCTATTTTTCAGAAAGCACCCTGTTTACCATTAAAAAAAGGTCATTTTTCGCTAACAATGAGACTTCCTGAGGAACCACCTCTCTTTGCTCCGACCACTGCACAGTTTGGTCAAACAGTTTCTCAGTCTCACACAGAGGGAACTCTGTTGCTCTCCTTGCAGTGGCTGAGGGTGGGTGGGGCAGGACATCGCAGGCTGTGTAGGACCTGGGGTCTCCTTTCCCACTGGGCCTGGGGTTGATCTGGATCACCTCCACCCCTGAAGCGCCAGCCCGGGCACTCCTCATTCTCCTTGGAGACCCCCCGGAGACTATACAGACTTGAAAGCCCAGGATGGGGCGCCCAGCTGCCCCGTGGAGACACTTCCTGGACACCCTGCAGGTTTCTAACAAGACCCAGACTTCTAAGGGAGCCTGCCCTCACCCCCTGAGGGAAGCCCAGACCAGTCCCTCAACGCTGCAAAGAGGGCTGGATGCTGCTGAGGCTCTAGGGACGCCCGGACGGTTGGTTGGCTGTACGCACTAACGCGGCACATGTGCCGAGGTGCCAGACCGGCTGCTTAAGAACTGCACGGTGCTTCTTAAAAACAGACCCTTTTCAACTCCAAACCAACCAGAGTTTGAGCCAACAGATCTGAGATGGGGGCCTCAGTGCCCCTGGTGATTATAAACACAGCCAAGTTCAGAGAATGGTTGTAAAAGGATTACGATAGCCCGGGCCTGAGGACTTCGCCAAGGACCCAGGAGATCCTGGGAGGCCTGTTACCCTCACTGCCAGTTTGCTCTGATGCAGGAATGGAAAGCTTTTAAAGTCAGCCTGCAGAAAAGTCAGTGCCAACTTCACAATATTTTGATATTTTTTTCTGAGAGCTGACTTTGGGAGGGAATCCTGAATAAGAACAAGTCCAGATGAAATGATCATTCATTTTCATACCCTATTCCCTCCCCCCAACCCCCACCTTAGTTGGGATGAGGAAAGGACTAAAAAAATTATTTGTCCTTTTTAACAAAGTTGAAGTAATTTTACTAATTTTAAATTTTTCTGCTGCCTAACTGGTAACATGACTTTACCACACTCCTAACATAGGCAAGTATGATGGAGTTAACTTTATTATTTATTATTATTATTATTATTGCACGTGGGCTGAGAGAAAACTGTATTTCAAACCCACCCCACCCCGCCACACACACACCCTTCGGCCCCTCTCAAGGAGAGCCAAGTCTTCCTACTTGCTGCCTGGCAATCGCAGACCAAAAATAGGAGCCAGAGCAGGGTTCACTCCATCCCCTCTGTTTGCTTTTATGACCCAATTACGACCCAAGTTCCAAGGCCTCTCAGCCGGCTTCTTGCAGAGCGCCTAGCCCCGTGGTCGGCAAACTGCGGCTCGAGAGCCACATGCGGCTCTTTGGCCCCTGGAGTGCGGCTCTTCCTAAGCCTTGGGAGTACCCTAATTAAGTCAATAACAATGTACCTACCTATATAGTTTAAGTTTAAAAAATCTGGCTCTCAAAATAAATTTCCATTGTTGTACTGTTGCTATTTGGCTCTGCTGACTAAGGAGTTTGCCGACCACTGGCCTAGCCTCCTGAAAGGGAAAGCCCTGAGGGAGGGGCTGACTCATGTCCATTTGGCCAAGCTGGCCTGACCCCAGAGGCCCAGGAGCAGACCTCCTGTTCTCGCTGACACAGTCTACCGTGTACACAGAGCTGAACGTAAGGCTCACAGAATCCCCACGTCCTCCTAAGGGAGACCCGGGGGCCTCCCGGAGTCACCCGTCCTCCTTCCCGCCTCAGGCCCTCCTTACCCTGGCACAGTTTAACGAGGCCCATAACAATGATGGCAATGAGCGCTAGGACCTTCGCGTACGTGAAAGTATCCTGCACACGCGTGCCCCACTTGACATAGGCACAGTTCACAAATGTCAGCAGACCTGGAAGAAAAGCCGTACAGTCAGTCCCTGGCGGGCTCCGCGGAGAGCACAGAGGCCCACCTCCTTGGCCAGGGTCTATCACTTCTGCCCTATCTGCCTACAGCAAGGCGGCCAATGGACTGGTCAGAACCAGAACAGGCAAACGGAGGAACGGGCTCCCATGTGCCCCAGCTGGGAGTTCCCATGAACAGCCCCTCACAAGTAAAGATACAAAGGCATGACACATATTCATCAAGTCTTTTTCGTTTTGTTTTTTTTTAATCCTCACCTGAGGACATTCTTTCCATTGATTTCCAGAAAGAGTGGAAGGGAGGAAGGGGAGAGAGAGAAACATCAATGTAAAAGACACATCAATTGGCTGCTGCTTCAAGTCCGCAGGCCGACGCTCTAACCACTGAGAAAAACGGGCCAGGGCCGTATTCATAAGTTCTGACAACCAGGTCATTTTCAGAAATTTCTTCCAGGCCCACTCAGACTCCCAAGGTCCTAAACCACCCAGGACACAAGGCCTGCCCATGGCCACGTTAGAGAGCAGACACAAGAGAGGCCCATTAATAAATGAGGTGAATCTGAATGGAGGTGGCAGGTCACCTAGGAATTAGGCAATGTTTTGTCTATGAGTGTGAAAAAAGAAATCTGTCGCCAAAACCGGTTTGGCTCAGTGGATAGAGCGTCGGCCTGCGGACTGAAGGGTCCCAGGTTCGATTCCGGTCAAGGGCATGTACCTGAGTTGCGGGCACATCCCCGGTGGGGGATGTGCAGGAGGCGGCTGATCGATGTTTCTCTCTCATCAATGTTTCTGACTCTCTCTATCTCTCTCCCTTCCTCTCTGTAAAAAATCAATAAAATATATTTAAAAAAAAAAAAAGAAATCTGTCATGTGCCTACGCATTTCACATACATCCTGTCAATTAATTCTCACAACCCCAAAATACAGACATTCCTGATTTCCAGTCTACAGATGAGAAAACTGAGGCTGAGAGGGGCCAACTACCATTCCTAAGCTCACATGGACCCCACTGATCTCTCCAGGCCCCACAGTGCACGGTGCGGTCCATGGGAAGTGAGCCCACTTGGGCATTCCCCGGGCTCCTGCCAGCACCAGTGGCTTTCTGTTCCGGTTCCTGACACACCTCGGTGATATCCCGGCCCAGGTACTGCTCTGATCCATAGGGAAGACGCAAGGGCAATACCCAAGGGGTTCTAGACCACCCCTACCTACTCCCACCTGTTTTGTCTACTTCACCAGACTCTCTCTTTACTGGTGCCAGATACGCATGAAAAAGAAATGTCCTCTTCTCCTCCTGCCGTAGCCACAGCAACTCTCGCTTTCAAGGCCTCGCTCTACCCCACTTCCTCTGTAAAACCTTCCCCAAACAAACCAGCCAGTGGCTCACTGGGCTCTCTCCCCCACTACGCCTGCAGCAGTCTCACTCCACAGCACAGCTCAGTGCCTGGGGCTGAGTGGTCATGTGAGCCTCCGTCTCAGGAAGGTCTGTCTCTCCCTGGGGCATTTGGATGGTGCTTCTCCAGGAGATCATAATTCTTAGGGGGAAACAAAAGCATTTTGTTTTCTTAAGCTTATTGCCAAACAGAGAGGGGAAAGGGCGAACTCTGTTAGAATCCGGCAGGTGATGACTCTCACTTAACCTCGAGTTCCCGGGAACAAGGCGAGGGTCAGAAACTTGGGCATCCTTCCACTCAGTGGAGAGAGAGGCTAGGGCCGCTAGGGCCAGCCTGTGGAAATAAGACATGTGGCTGAACAGCCTCGAAAACACTCTGAGAGCGTTCACTCCATCCTCCGGCAAATGAATGACACGGATGCTCGCTAGAACAGCCATAGGAGGTGGGGGTTGGGGGCCGAGGGCGAAGGTCAAGGGGAAAGGGAGGGACCTGCCCTGCTACCCAAAGGGTGTGGGGCTCAGCCTAGATCAGCTGTCAGAAGGACTGCCTAGTTCAGTGGTCGGCAAACGGCGGCCCCTTGAGTGTGGCTCTTCCACAAAATACCACGTACAGTGCGATGGAAACTTCGTGGCCACACTCAAGGGGCCGAAGAGCCACGTGTGGCTCGCGAGCCGCAGTTTGCCAACCACTGACCTAGTTCATCGTCACCAGTAATCCACAGGCCCTGGTGCCATACCGTCAGCATATTGTGAGGTATGGGCCCCCCTGCCCGGCCCCTTCGCGGGAATGGCTCCCCCTCCTCCGTTGTGCCTGACTGACCAAGCCAGACACTGGACCCCAGCTGAGCCTATCGGCCCATCTCTCCCAGGAACATGGAGTCGGGATGCCCAGAGACAGAATCTACCTCATAGCAGCAGCCAGGGCCACAGCGAGTCAGGGTCACGGACAAACCCTGCAACAAAGGAACCACAAGAAAGCGGAGGAAGGAAGCAGGACCGGGGAAAGAAGAAGTGAGAGGGTGTACAGCTTGCGATAAAAGTCTGCCGCAGAAGACAGAGAGAGGTTAGAGACAAAGACGAGGAGGCAGAGACAGGGAGAAAGGGACAAAAAGAGGGAGAAAGGTGGGCATGCACACGAAGAGGGGTCTCTGCGCACAGTGGGAATTCACGACCAGTGGTGAAGGGACGAGTGAAGGTCGTGCCTTGTGGGGGTCCCTGCAGAGGGTTTCTGAAAGACCAGCTGAAAGGTACAAAAGAGCCTGGTCCCCGTGGCTGCCTCTGGGGAGGGAGGGAGACCTTTCCCATCGTGTGCCCTGCTGTCCTTAGATTTATTTACCACGTACAAGGGCTTCTTTCTCAGTAAAAATAAAAATACTTAGTGGGAGGCGCTCACTGTCAGAGGGCCACTTGGCAAACCATCCTTAAATGCTGGCCCCGGGCACCTGCTGGCTTCACCCAACGCTCAGCCCTGCCAGGGAACAGAGAGCTCTGAAAACAGTCTACCAAGCAGCAGTCCAGTCCTCTGAATGTTTTCCTGATTCTAAGTAAGAAATAAAATGTCACCCCACCGGCGTGGCCCAGTGGTCAACTTATATACGAGGAGGTCACAGATCCATTCCTGGTCAGGGCTCATGCCGGGGTTGCAGGCTCAACCCCAGCTGGGGGTGTGCAAGAAGCCAATCAATGATTCTCTCTCATCATTGATGTTTCTGTCTCTCTTCTCCCTCTCCCTTCTTCTCTGAAATTAATAAAAATATGTCTTTAAAAAATATTTTTTTAAATATATTTTTCATCCACAAATAATCAAAAAAGAAATAAAATTTCACAAGCTGATCCTCACTCCTCCATGCGCCCCAGAACGTCTCTCTGGGAGCTGGTTGCTGAGAAAGGAGTAGTCATTCAAATAGCAAATCTAGACCCAATCCCAAAGCAGAAACAAATCCCCAAGTCTCTCTGTGGCAAAGATCACCAGTTATCTTCTAATACCTGTTTTTCCATTTTACCTTCGTAATAGAAATTTTAGCCAGAGTCATGGTTGCCCCCAAATAAAGTGGACATTGCCCAGCCTCTCTTGCAGTGAGGTATGGCCAGGTCACTAGGTTCCTGCCCCAGGATGTAAGCCAAGTTTCATGGTGTGGACCAAAAGGGGCCACATGCTACCCTGACGAACTCAGGGAAGGCCTGCGTGGTGGCCTTGCAAACTCAAGAGACCTAAAGGAACCACAAAGGATGGTCTGAAATGAAAACCTGTCATTAAAAAGCAGTTCAATTAGTGGGTAGTCATGTCCGAAGCCAAGTGTTTTCCCTGACAAAGATCAACTTCCATCTTTACTGAACCTATTGTTCTTTTGCATCTAAGATAACGTACCTGTGGAATGTCAGGGTAATGTGTAACTTCCCTTTTCCCAGACCTCTCAAGGCACAACCAATATGTGAGGGCACCAGGCTAGAGACCACAAATTCCCTCACTGTTAGTTGTTAATTGCTATTAATCTTATTAACTGACTGTTAACTATCCTGTACCCACCTATGTAAAAGAAGTATGTGTCCAGCCCATCAGGTGTGACTCAGTGGTTGAGCGTAGACCTAGGAACCAGGAGGTCACAATTGGATTCTTAGTCAGGGCTCGTGCTTGGGTTGTGGGCTCCATCCCCAGTAGGGGTTGTGCAGGAGCCAGCCAT